TCCTCTCCTCTCCTCTCCTCCTTCCCTCCCCTTTCTTCTTCTTCCCTCCCCCTTTAACTCCCCTCTTCTTTCTTTCAAGACAGGGTCTCACTATGTAGTCCAGGGTGGCCATGAGCTCACACTGACCTGGAACTCATGGTGATCCTCCTGCCTCAGCCTCCTGAGTCCTGAGATTACAGGCATGTGCCACCACACCTGACTAAAGAGTGAGATTTCTTTTGTGTGTGTGTGTGTCTTTCATGTTTCCCTTTATTGTCTCTTTAGCAACTGAATACTGTATAAACAAATCTTTTTTAAGAGACTTCTGAGGCAGTGGTCGTGTTCTGTGTCTTAATGGGAATTTTCATAACACAGGTGAATTTATTTATAAACATTAATGTAATGACCCACTTAACACATTCCATTCTAATCTAAATTTTAATTTTAAAAAGAACAAGTAAATATTGGACTGTAATAAATGGATATGCAGGCTGAAGTTTTGTTTTATTTGCTGTGCTTATTTTTGAGATAGATGGATTCCCACCACATCCAGGCTGACCTTGAACTTTCTGTGCAGTTCCGGCTGGCCTCAAACTCAGTCCTCCTGCCTCAGCCTCCTGGATGGTGTGGGCTGGTCTTTAAGGGTACTGTGTGCTGCGGTCCGTGTCCTTCTCTGAGAGGCACCAGAGAATGAGGGACTGCTGGCAGAAGATGGGTAGAGGTGGGAAGGGGTGGCCTGTGGACGCGGGATACAACACGCTGGGCTTAGCGATCCTTGAAGAGTTGGGGTGTTCCCTGTACCATTCTTTGGGCTTTGGTGTGTGTCTGAAATTCTTTATAATGAAAAGGTAGTAAAGCAAGAATCTAAAGAGCGATTCTGGGTTGGGTTTCCAGTAGGGCAGAGTGCACCCCGCTGTGAGAGCCATTCCCCTGCGTCTAATACCTGTCTCTCCTGTGTACCAGGCCTGCCTTGGGCAGGACTTTGGCTTGGGTAGTTGTGCTAACCAGGAACCACTGAACTGCTGTTTCTTGCTTAAATGCAGACAACCACAAACAGGTCATGTTACAGCTCTTTGTAATGGTCTTGCCCTATATTTTTCTTTCTTCCTTTTTAAAAAGCAGTTTCTTGTTATTTAGTTCAGGTTGGCCTGGACCTCTTTGCTGGAGGTTGGCCTCCACATCTATGATGTAGCTGAGGCTGGCCTCAAATTCCTGGCGATCTTCCTGCCTCAGCCTCCCTCCTGATTGCTGGGATTACAGGCGTGCACCGCCATGCCTAGCTTTCCTCACCCCATAGTTTTAAAGTAGGTAAAGAAGAAAAGCCTCCAACCCATGCATCAGCTGCCCCTCCGGCAGCAGCTTGAGTGGAGCCAGACCTGGTCAGCCTCAGGCTGGGCTGCATCTGTGTTGCCAAGCTGGGTGGTGGCTGGGAGACGAAGGGGCAGGCAGGTGGCACGGGGCAGGGCGCACACTGTGAGGAGGGCTTTGGCCCTTTTCTCCCACAGCAGGAGCCATGTCTACATCCTGTGTCCTCTCAGAATTGCTGAGGGCCCCGGAGTGGGACTGAGGCTGGGTCTCCTCATGCCTCTGCGACATTTCTGTCTCTGCTTCTGCTGTCCAAGGCTGGAAACAGAAGCAGGGGAGGAGGGTCAGGCTCTGCCCCAGCCTTGGACATGGGGACCCTTCGTTTCCCTCCAGGTGACCGTGTCGCCATCGAACCTGGGGCTCCCAGAGAATCAGATGAATTCTGCAAGGTCGGCCGGTACAACCTGTCACCAACCATCTTCTTCTGCGCCACGCCCCCCGATGATGGGAACCTCTGCCGATTCTACAAGCACAACGCTAACTTCTGCTACAAGTGAGTGCTGCCCTTTCCCTTGGGCTGTTCCGGAATCTTCTAGTTTCCTGTGAGCATTTATTTTTTCAGCTTTTAATTCTTTTGATCCTTTTACTGTTGAGACAGGGTCTCACTGTGCAGTTCAGGCTGGCCTTGAACTCACAGTGATCCTCCTGCCTCAGTCTCCCAAGTGCAGAGATTACAGGGGTGTGCCACCATATGCGGCCTTTTTCGTGTTCGTGTTCCTAGAAGAAGTGGGGAGGCGTGGGGCAGTGCTCAGAGCACCGCAGGCCCTGTGGGAGGCCAGCCGTGCAGGGCAGTGTTGTGTGATCTTTCCGTTGATCAGTGGCCATCACACCGCACCTCAGCCCTGTTTGCACAGCAGAGGAAACGGCCGTGGGCCGGCCGGGGGTGCGGCTCTGAGTGGAGTGCTGCCTGGCTGTGCAGTCCTGGGTTTGAGCCTTGGCGCTTCAGAAAACCACAAGGAAAGCATAGCGCATGTCCACCTGCTGAGGTCACAGCCAGAGAAAGTGGCAGCATGGGCGGCAGAGTGGCCCGGTCAGGCTGGAAAGCAGGCAGCCCTAGAGGCCCTCACTACTCGGGGCCTTCAGCTGCATCCCATCCAAACGCCCGTGTGTGCTCAACCCCGCAGGCTCCCTGACAGTGTCACCTTTGAGGAAGGGGCCCTCATCGAGCCGCTCTCCGTGGGGATCCATGCCTGCAGGCGCGGCGGGGTCTCCCTAGGAAACAAGGTCTTGGTGTGCGGCGCTGGTAAGAGGCCTGGCTGTGGGTCACTGGCTGGGGACCTGGGCACCTGTACCCCTCTCAGTCCCCCGCCAGGGTGGCATTGCTCCAGAACCTTCCCCAGCCTCATAGAGCCAGCTCTGCCCCACATGAAGGAATCCTCTGATTTCTTTGGGAGTTGGATCTTCTGTACAAAGACAGAGAACCCTTGAAAGAAACTAGGAAGCAACATTGGTAGCAAAGGGAGGGTGACATCCAAAAAGACCCAGTTACACCCAAGAAGTATGGCCTGGCCCAGCCTGCGGATGGGGCCCCCAGTGCTGCTCTTCAAGCCCCCAGGATGAGCCACAGCGTCCTCACTGAACTAATCAGGACTTTTAATTGCTAGAGATCCAGACAGCACCTGCACTCCCTGGTGTGTCTGCTGTGCCTCAGACACGACAAACCACAGTGCCACCACAGTGTCACCACATGCAGATCCTGGGGTAGGGGAGCTGGTGGCCCTGGGTAAGTTCTTGTGGCCTTGAGGAATTCTCTGTTATCTGCATATTCCCCTTTTGACCTAGAAAGACAAGTATCACATTCTGCTCATATGCACACGCTGGAATTCCCTCAGGCCTCGCTACTCACCACCCGAGAGAGCCACTGAGCCACTGTTAATAACGTGTGTGTGTGTGTGTGTGTGTGCGCGCGTGTGTGTGTGTGTGTGTGCGTGTGTGTGTGTGTGTGTGCGCGCTGGAAATCAGACTCTGGACCTTGTACGTGCCAGGAAGGCACTTGAGCTGTCTCCTCGCCCCTTTTATTCTAGCTCTCTGATACCTTTAAAATAGGCACACAGTGGTTTGCGAAGGTTAGAGTTGTTATCAGACTGGAGTTTGGATTCCAGAGCTGTGACTTTCTAGCTTTTGGTAAAGTGCTGAGTCCTTCCTCAGCCATCTTCACATCTGCACCATGAAGTTGGTAGAGCTTAGGATGTTCGTGAGAATGGAGAGCTGTCAGAAGCAGGCAAAGCACCAGGAGCGCACAGTCCACAGCATGATCCATGAATATCGGCTCTGAAGCGCCGAAGTCCAGACAATTTTCTTATCTACATCTTTAATCAACAGTTGTAAAAGCCTTAAACTGCAATCATGAGAACATTTCTGTCCCTTTATGACAGCACACCAACAGGACTTAACCTTCTTACCCTGAGCCTGTAAAACAAATAATATTAATTACCTGTAATGTCAGACAAGGAGATAAAGAGCTGTGCCTCCCGCAGGGATGAAAGAGAGAGCAGGAGTCTGAGAGCCTTCCCACATTCAAGGGAGGTTCACAGAGGAGGACCCCGTTAGTACTTACCCTAACAAAGGCAGGTGCGCCGGGTGGGGTCATGTGAGGGTCCTGAGCACAGGGGGGCAGTTCAGTGAGGAGAGACGTTTAATATGGCAGTAGAACCCTGATGCTAAGGCTGTGCAGGTCCAGGGTGGAGTTAGGTATTACAACAGCAGGCTTTGGGAAGGAGGCTTCCCTGGGCCCAGCAGCTGCTCAGGCTGAGAGGCAGGAGAGACAGGGGCAGGCGACAGAGGACTGGGGAACTGTTGTTTTTAAAGACTGGTTTTAACTGGGGGTTGTGGTGCATGACTGTGTGATCCCAGGGGCACAGGAGACTCAGGCAGGACTCAAATTCCAGCCCAGTTCCAACAACTTAGGCCCTGTCTTGGAGAAAAAGAAAAAAAAGGGCTAGTAATGTGACTCAATACAAAAAAGCACTGGAAAAAAATGAATAAACAAAACAAAACAGCCACAGAAACCCACTGTAGTTTTGAGGAAGCTGCAGCTTCAGGACGGAATCGGGCTAGCGAAGGCCACGGAGGCGCCTTCTTCTCCCCAGTGCTGCCCTTCCTCCAGGTTCCCTCCTCAGGTTCCTGGGAGTCTCTGCAACAGTGTAAGTTCATAAATTTGGCCTGCATTTTCCTGCTGATACTGTAGGCCTATAAATTCCAAAAGTTACATCAAAGAATTCCATTCTCAGAGAAACAGTACTATTGATTAGTAGCTGATCTCTAAGTTTCAAACACGTATTAAACAATTTATATTTAACCTTGTTGGTAGTTTTGTTTGAACCCACTAAGGGGCAAACTGATCTTAAGAAAACACTAGGTAAATGATAAATAACTCAAAGAAGAAACACCCCAGACCACTCCTCTTAATTAAGGGTACCCTGTGAGCATATAAATCCTCCCAAATCCAGATTACAGAGCTACTTGCGTCTGGAGAGCCTGCACGCTGCGAGCTGGGGGCTGGAAACCCACCTGTGCCTCTCACTGACGGGTCCCCAAGTGCTTTTCTACTAAGATCGGTCAAGAACATGCAGAGGTGTGGGGCACGTGGAGGTCTCCATCTCAGCCTCAGGAGACCCGGTGCAGTGGCAGCCCCAGCCTTAGGGGGCCTGGGGAAGTCTCTGTTTATAAATCGGACTAAGTCCTTCGGTCCCTTCCTTCAGCCAGGCTGAGAGGGCAGTCGGGGAACCTATGGTCACAAGTAGGCAGGGCTTACATTTTAACAATTTTTTGGGTTTTTGGCGGGGAGGAGTGTAATCACTGGGGACAGGTGAGTTAAAGCACTGGACAGGTGACTTCCCTGCGGAATGTCGAGGAATCTGGAGACTCGAGGGCTCTAAGGACCCAGCAATCTGTAAAGGACACCTGGCCCACACAGCTCAGAGGGTGCTTGTTACCTAAAGAAGCTTCTAGATCAGTCTCCATCTCATTCCCACAAGCTGTCATCCCCCAAACCTTGCCAAAACAAAGGCAGGAGCCAGCTAGGTCACAGCCAAAAGGTGGATGGGGACCAGGCTAAACCAGCCCCACTGTTTTTATTTTCTTTAAAGAAAAAACTAAAACAAAACAAAGCAATCTTTTGAGAATATTTTATTAATAGATACAGCTATGGAATAACTTTCAGTAGCTGGACAGTATCCCATTGTAATTATGTAACCACCCTTTGGTGGACATTTCAAATATGATTTTCCAGTTTCTTGCTTACAAAGTTGTTTTTAAGGGATGTATACAAAAAGCAAAAACTAAAAGACCTTTTTTTTTCTTTTCTTGCAGTCCTGGTGATTGAACCAGGGCCTTGGGTATGTCATACAGGCTCTCTAGGACTGAGTGATATCCCAGCTCTTTTTTAAAGTTTTACTTTGGAACAGACTCTTACTAAGTTGTCAAGACTGTCTTCAGCCCTGGGGTCCTCCTGCCTCCGCCTCTGGGTAGCTGAGAGAGACCCTTCATTGCCCCACCCGGTGGATCTGGGTGTTCGGTTAGAGCTGTGTAGGTGCCGGTGGCCTGCACAAGGGAGACGCTGAGGTTGTGCACTGCACAGACGCCTTCTGTCCTGTTTGCTCAGGGCCTGTCGGGCTGGTCACCTTGATCGTGGCTAAGGCAATGGGCGCATCGGCAGTGGTGGTGACTGGTAAGAAGACTCCTTCTGTGGCTTCCTTCTAATGGGAGTGGGTGCAAGAGCCCTTCCCTGCCTGTGCTTGTCACAAAATGTGGGAGGTGGGTGCTCTTAAGGAAGGATGTTTACCCCGGTCACCATGCTAGAGGTGAAGGGCAAGACTGGGTGACCCCGCTGGATGCAGCATGGGTGTGGGCTGTGGCAATGGTATCGAAGTGGCAGCATCCTGGCAGCAGAGAGACTGGTAGGACAGCACCACTCTTGGGGACCAGCACGCGTCCCTTCCAAGGATAGCAACCCCAGGGATCCCGATACCCGGCCCCGGGCCTCTCCTAAAACCCGCCACCCTAAGGCCAGGTCTTCAGCACATGAACTGTAGGGGACAAACTACTTCCGGGCTGCAGCACCTCTTGAGAAGCTGGGTTTCTTTTATGAGACAGGGTGTCACTATGCAGTTCAGTCTGGCCTTGAATGCACAGCAGTCCTCCTGCCTCAGCTTCCTGAGTGCTAGGATTGCTGGCATAGGCCACTGTGTCCAGCTTAGGGAGCCTGTGTGTCTCAGGGGCTCCCCTTCCACCAGTGTCTCAGGTGATACCATGGGGGACTCACTGGGGCTCAGCAGGATGCATCTATGCATGAGCTCCAGAGCTGCTGGAGCCTGGAAGACACGAGGGAGGGCGCCTGGCAGGCTCAGCAGTGCTGCTGCCCTCAGAACCGGTGACTAGGTGTGGGACCCCGAGCAGGGGCCACCCGCACCCTTGCTCTCTTCTCTTCCTAATCCATCACTGGGTTCTCAGTTTGAAAGAGGCTCTCCTCACTTCAGACCTGTCCGCCTCTCGGCTGTCCAAAGCCAAGGAGGTCGGGGCCGACTTCGTCCTCCAGATCTCCCAGGAGAGCCCCCAGGAAATTGCCCGCAAGGTGGAAGAGCTGCTGGGGTGCAAGCCGGAAGCCACCATCGAGTGCACTGGGGCAGAGAGCGCCATCCAGGCGGGCATCTATGTGAGTGTGGGGTGCGGGTGGGGGACGCCCTCGGCCGGGCTTCCTTCTGTCCTGGGAGACATTGGCACCCTCACTGGGTCATCTGGCTGAGGTGTCAGCCCAATTCCTGAGCCCAGCCTGATGAAAGTCCTGCCACATGCTCAGGGCGTGGTGCTCAGAGATCTGGCCTGTGACTAAAAGGATGGGCAAGAGGAACAGGGAACCAGGACCTGGGGGTGGGAAACCCATGCCGGCTTTATGGAGGAAAGCTTGATGCAGAGCGACAGCCGTTAACTCGGTTAGTCACAGAGGTGAGGTACTCTTCACAGCTGCTCTGTTCGGGGCTAGGCCCTCTCCCAGAATGAGGAACAAACACACTGCGGGGCCGAGGGACAGGGAGTGGCCTCCTGCATCAAAGTGGGAGGAAAAGGATGCTTGAGGGGCCCTGCCCCGCCACACCAGGTCCCGTGCTGAGTGCCCCAGAGCCTGTGACTAGGAAGAAACACAATGCCAACGCTGCTAGCATTCCATCAGTATGTGCCAAGGTCTAGTAGGTGGCCTAGGACACTGTCCCTCCAGAGGGGCATATGCAGGCCTGCTTGGACACAGTTGCTGGCCTTTCCTTCCCAGCATGGCTGGTGGCACTGGGGGCCTAGGTGGCCGAGGAGGGAGTGGCAGGCGCCCTGGCCCTTGCTGTCAGCTGTGGTCCCCCTTCTCACTGCTGCCGAGAGGTTTTGGGGCTCGCTCCCACATCAGCCTCTGCCATCTTCCAGCCAGGACAACAACATTTTTCTGTGGCACTGCCCGGGAGTTTTTAGGTTGGTGCACTGCAGTGAAACAGTAGCTGACCCTACAGCCCGGTGATTGTCATACTCGGGGTTGCCTGAGAGGGAAGCTGGACCCAGCTCACCGCGTGGAGCCCCTCCTCCCCCCA